AACTAGACTCATGCTCACATTATAAAAACTAGGCCCTTACTTCTAATGTTGATCTCACGGGGTATTCTAGTTTTTGTGTATGTCTAGTTACTAATAGTGCTAAGGATGGTATATTAGTGCACTCCGATTGGTATCACGCTTCAAAGGTCCATCTCTTATACCTTAACATCATTTGGTAGACATTGACTCCTACATTTCCTATCTAAGCATATGTGCAAGCTATAATCTAAACTCGTAGCACATATGTAGGGGGAGCAATTGCTACCATTTGGGGTTCATAAAACTTGTCCATATCCTTTTACACATGGTAAATATGTTTGGGCAAGCAACATGGATTCAATTAAATTTCAATTCATATATTTGTGAAAGGGTTGTCATCAATTACCAAAAAAGGAAAGATTGAAAGCTCTAGTTTGGTTTTGGTGAATTGATGAACCCTAAGTGCTAACCTAGTTTGTCAAAATGATTATGAGATAGGTAGCACTACTCCAAGTAGTGAAGCAAATGAAGATCCTGACATGATAATGGTGATGCCATGGTGATGATCAAGTGCTTGGACTTGGAAAAGAAGACTGAGAAAAATAAAAAGCTCAAGGCAAAGGTGAAATTGATAGGAGTTTTTTAGTTTAAGTGATCGAGACACTTAGAGAGTGTGATCATATTTAGGATCGATAGCCGTACTATTAAGAGGTGTCAAACTCGTATCGAAATGTGGTTGTCAAAGTGCCACTAGATGCTCTAACTCATCGCATATGCATTTAGGATCTAGTAGAAAGCTAACACCTTTGAAAATGTTTGTGAAAATATGCTAACACACGTGTGCAAGGTGAGACACATGGTGGTTAGCACATTTGAGCAAGGGTGGAGAAGTTGGTGAAATAAAGGAATTGATAGTCACTGAGATACAGTGACCGGACGCTGGTCACGCAGAGATCGGACGCTGGGGTCCTGCGTCCGCTCATTGGCGCGCAGTGAAGGTCGTCCTCGGTCTCTTGACCGGACACAGGTGATCGGACTCTGCCTGAACACTGTTTAGCATCCGGTCATGCTGCTGTGGCGATGCACAGAGAAGAGGGAGAGTGATCGGACGCTAGGTGAGTCCGGTCGGGCATGACCGGACACGTCCGGTCGTGAGTGGAACCTTACTAGAAACGACCGGACGCCAGTGTTGGTGCGTTCGGTCACTTCAAGCAGCGCATCCGATCATGACTTAACTGTACTGATGACCGTTGAGATCAGGCGATCAGCATTTGAAGCAGGGGCCACATGGCATACATCACGCGATCGGATGCTAGGGTCCTACGTTCGGTCGATCTGACCGGCACGTCCGATCGTCCTAAATTTTCAGTGAACAGAGAGCCAACAACTCTATTCATGGGGCTCTCTATTTAAGCCACATGGCCGGTTCAAGCTCACTCTCTTGGCCATTTGCATTGATATAGCAACCTTGTGAGCTTAGCCAAAGACCTCCCACTCATCTCCATCATTAATTCATCATCTTTGTGAGATTGAGAGAGAATACAAGTGCATTGCTTGAGTGATTGCATCTAGAGACACTTGGTGTTTGTATTTCGCTGCCGGATTCGCTTGTTGCTCTTGGTGGTTGCCACCACCTTGATGGCTTGGTGCAGCGGAGGAGGAGTAGCACGAGTTGGTAATTGTTTGTGTCCATCTCCGATGATTGTGAGGGGACTTGTGCCTTCCCCGGTGGAGCGCCGAAAGGTAACCTTAGTGGATTGCTCGTATCATTGAGTTACCTAACTTGTGGGTAGGTTCTTGTAGGGTCCAATTATGTGGATGAGGTTCGTGCAACACCTCTTAGCTGTCGAGCCACCAAGTGTTGATCGACACAACGGGGACGTAGTGTGTTGGCAAGCACGTAAACCTTGGGAGAAAATTGGTTGTCTCTTGCCCTTTGATATTCTCTCGGTGATTGAGTTAGTATTCATCTTGTGATTGGTTCACTCCTCTATACGGCGGTATAATCACCTTATTTACTCATTTATATACCCGCAAACTAGTTGTATTAAGCTCTTTAGTGTAGCTAGAATTGAGAGCTTGCTTTGTAGCTTAAGTTCATCTAGTGGAGCTGTTTAGTGTAACAAGTTTGAGAGCTCTTAGTGAGTAGTGACTTAGTAAATTGTGTGTGTAGGGATCATAGTAACTAGAATTATTAGATAGGTGGCTTACAACCCTTGTAGAGCTAGAGTAAGTTTGATTTTCGCTATTTGTCATACTAATCAAATTGCTCTAGTTGGTTTGTAGATTTTTAAATAGGCTATTCACCTCCCCTCTAGCCATACTAGGACCTTTCACTAGCTCCCCAGGGCAAGAGGTGACGAGGTTGAGCTACGAGATTTGGGGACAGGGCGAATTGGGGTTTTGCGGTTGGCAGGGCTGCGGCCTATGGGGGTGCTGGTTCGTGACTACTGTAGCTAGGGTGGAGCCATATCTACGGCGGTGGAGGTGGAGGGGGAGGGTGAAGGCAGAAGTGAAAGCGAAAGCAGTGGGGAGCCTAGACGTAAACCTTCACTGCCGACCCGTCGGACCCGAGCGCCGCGCCGACCCCCCTCCCACTCACGCGATGATGGACCATAGGTGCACGCGATGGCCTAGCAACAGCCCAGGCAGAGTACGCGATCTGTGCCGTGCGGCCCTTTTTCTCTTTTCTGTTGACACCTGAGCAATACTCGTACGTGCGCCTATTTCGTTCCGTCGTAGCCGTAGGTGGTTACGTGGTTGTGTTTTTTTTTCTTTTTTTCTATTTCTTTTTCGTTTTCATTCTTCTTTTCCTTTTCCTTTTCCTTTTCCTTTTCTCTGTGTTGTTTTATTCTTCTTTTTATTTGTTATTTTTCCTTTATTTTTTTTATGCATTTTTTCTTTTCTTTTTTCCTTCTTTGATTTATTTTTTATTTTTCTTTTTTCTTTTATTATGTGGCCTTTGATTCGTCTTTTCAATTTTTATTCTTATCTTTATTATATTCATTTGTTATTTTTCCTAATTAGTTAATTTTATTTCATTTTCTGTTTTCGTGTTTTTTCCTTTTCTTTTATTTACTTCTCTTTTTATGATTTATGTTTTGTGTAGATTTTTTTCATTTTGGTTTTCATTTTCCATTGTGGTTTTCATTTTCTATTTTTATTTTACTCTAATTATTTTATTTTAATCATTTTCTTGCTTTAGTTTTTTCATTTCCTTTTCTTATTTAAGTTATTTATTTACTTTTTTATATAATTAGCCTTTGTTATTTATGATTTTATTTCTATTTTTGTTATTGTACTCTATTTAATTACTCTAATAATTTTATCTTTTACTCTTTTTTTCTATATACACTGATGTTCACGTAGTATACATGTGACGTTCTACGATATATTTTGTGATGTTCTACGATTTATTTTGTCATGTTCACATAGTATATATATATATATGTGATGTTCTATGATGTATTTTGTGATGTTCACGTAGTATATATATACTAAATATTCGTGATGTTCACGTAGTATACATGTGATGTTCTGTGATGTATTTGATGTCCACGAGTAGAAATGTGATGTTCTACGATGTATTTTGTGATTTTTAGTAAGCATATATTGATGTTCTATGACATTTTTGTGATGTTCGGTAGTATTTTTCCTTTTATTTGACTCTAATTAATTACTTCACTAATTTCATTATTTTTTATTCTACATTTTTATGATATTTGTGATGTTCACGTAGTAAACATATGATATTCTATGCTGTATTTAGAGATATTCGTGTAGTGTTAATGTGATGTTCTACGATGTATTTGTAATGTTCGGTAGCATTTTTTCTTTTTTATTCGACTATAATTAATCACTTCACTATTTTTTTTATTTTTTTATTTTTTATACTTCATGATATATATGATGTTTGCGTAGTATACATATGATGTTATATGCTATTTTCTGCGATGTTTGTGTAGTGTTAATGTGATGTTCTACGGTGTATTTATGATGTTCATAAGCATTTTTTTTTATTTGACTATAATTTATTACTTCACTATTTTTTATTTTTACATTTCATGATATATATGATATTCGCGTAGTATACATGTGATGTTCTTTGCTACTTTCTACGATGTTCGTGTAGTGCTAATATGATTTTCGGCAATTATCTTTAAATACAAGTTCATCATTAGATAAATGTTCGTTAAATTTTTTTCGAAATATATCCATGTGGGATCTTGTTTTGAAGAGTTTATTGCAAGGAACACGAATCGGATTTTAATTAGGATATGGTTTAGGAGATATGTTTTTTATCTCAAAAAGTGTGGGATACGTGCTGACGTCAGCAATTTTGGTTTTAGTGCATGGCTGTTGCTTTGGTGGGCTGGGCTGTGCGCGGAAGCAGTGACTTCGGCCCAATTGCGCGCGGGCAGCAAATTGTATTCAGTTGACGGGGAGGGGGTCGACAGGCGGATAGCCGCCACCTGGCCGGCACCTAGACGTCCCCGGTCGTCGGGACTTGTTGGGCTTTGCACTCACATAACGGAGCGGCATCCGTCCTTGTACTACTCCTACATGTGAATTTTTAGCCCAATCTGAAGTAATCCTGGGCTGTTGGGCCAAATTCTTACTCCCAACCGAGAGGAGAAAGTACACCCGACCCCGAGCCCAAATCCGCGAGTCGGCGTGCGCCAGCGCCGCCGCAATCCGACTTCAACAGTTCAACTCCGGCCGCTCCTCTCCGTGGTCCCTGCCCGGCTGGCTGCTACAGTGCTACCGAACCCTAGCCGCCGCGCCGCTACCGCTCCCACCATCGCGTCACCATCGGCCGGCAACTCGGCGAGAGGGGTTGCGGCCGCCCGTCGCCACCAGGTCCTCTGCGCTAGCCGCTAGAGGGTGTCCGCGGCTCCGCGCTCCACAGTCGGAGGCGCGTTGGGCGGCCGCCTGGCTGGCGAGCCGGCGACTGCGTGGCCCCTTCCCTTCTGCGAGACTGCAGAGCAACTGGGGTACAATACAATACAACAGGTTGTTCTCTAATTCGATTGATCCAAGCCTCCAAGCATGGTGTTCGGCCGGAGTAAATCATCCTCGTCGTCGTCGACGCCGTCCGCGCCCTCAAAGGCGGCGGCCGCGTGCTCCGAGCTGCGCACCGCGTACCACGAGTGCTTCAACCGGTGGTACGCGGAGAAGTTCGCCAAGGGCCAGTGGCAGAGAGACGACTGCGCCGACCACTGGCACAAGTACCGCGCCTGCCTCGAGGTAACCCCTCTCCCCCCCTCGCCGCGCTTCTCCTGCCTCCGCCTTGCTTGCATCTCTTGCTCCCTGGCCGCAGGATCACGACTCATCTTATTGTATTGTTGGGCTCGGTATGGATCCCAGTTTTTATCAAAGGCGCTGTTCTTGGATGTGATGATGCTCCGATCCATAGGGGGTGGCTGCACTCGTTTGAAGAGGGGACTGAGTACTCGGCGCTGCTGTCATAGCTTAGGCCGGAATTCTTCAATGGAGTTGGCGGCAAGATCTAGAGCAGGATGGTTGCGTGTAGTGTAGATAGATCTCGTTGGTCACGTAGTTACTGCAATTTGGGAGTACCATTATCACGATTTCCAAGCAACCTTTTCGTGAATCGACAAAAACCCTTTTGTACCAAATTGAGAAACTTGAATTTATTTGAATGATTCATTAGTGATGAGCAAGGAAAATTCTCAACATAACCAACTAGATTAACTTTCAAGCGACAACTCAATTTTCTTCAAAGAACTCTATTCAGTAGTCTGCGCACTATGTATATTGAAAAGGTAATAGAGCCAACAATGCTCATCGCCTGATAACACTACTATAAACTACATGGTTATATCACAGTAAGCCACATTACCAGTTTATATTTACAATTGGACATAGAAATAACCACCAACCAGTTGTTGAGTTGAATGTTCTTGGCAGTGAAATTGATGGGCTGATTAAATCTTTCAAAGAAAATGGACCGATTACTTTCAGTGTTGAAAATCGATCTATATTTGTGATATTTGTCTACTTGCACTGAACTTTGTTTTTCTTTTATCATCTATTAGTCAACAATGTTTTGTGATACAAAAGTAGTACTGTTATATTCATGTTAGAAAGGACTTTCCTGTGAGAATGCTTTTGTTTCTATAAATAATTTAGTTTAATTGTATCAAAGAGAATTCCAAATGTAATTTTGAAGATCATGCCAACTACAACCACTCCGTATGCTTTGAATGGATGGAGTATTTGACTGCCATACTGAATTACTGCTGTCCTGCATCTTTTGGGATTGTTATTACTGGGATAGGTATGTTCAGGGATTGGGTTTCAACTTTCAAATCTCTTTTCCCCCTGACAGAAGTAATTATTATTGGTGGATGTTTGTATGAGTCGTGTTAAACATGAGCCAAGCTTTCCTCTGATTTTACATGGACACTGCCTCTCATGACATTAACCTCTGAGTCTATGTTCTATTCCTTTATTCTCCCTCCCTCCCTCCCTCCATCCATCCCTCTTGTTTGTTATAATCAGCACACCAGCTCCATTGTTGCCATTTCTCTAATACAAATAGCTTGGAGATTGTCAGTTGTCACAACTTCAGCTTTCACAATGCTTGTATGAAATCGTATCATTCTTGCTCTTATATTGGATAGATTTACTATTGATCCAGTGAGTACATATCTCCTTCTCATAATGGCTGACTGTCGACATTTTCATTGTTTCCAGGAACATCTAGAAGACAAGCATCTAAGGCAAATCCTACTGGACGCAGAAACTTCCGCATTTTATGCCAGGCCTGAGGCTGACCCCCCCTCAGGACAAGGAACTACAAAATAACAGTCTCTCGTTTACCACATGCCATGTCTGACTTTATATAGGGAACCTTGGTAGACTAAACTCCTTTGATCTTGACACTTGTGAGGCCCCTGATCATGTAACACTTAAATTGAGCTGGCATTTGCGAGCAAAATTTGCTGAGTGTCAGAATGGTGTACCCTGCTATCTGAAAGCATTGGAAGAATTGAGAATAGAATCAGCTGTAGAGCTGTACATTTTGAAGAACGTTGTTTCATTGATGGCTTTGCTTTTAGCAGAGTTTGTTGAGTAATAAGGTTTCGGACATGGTATTGTTTTCAAGACGTTAGTTTCTGATGGTGTTGTTAGGGTTTCGTGAATCATGACAGTGACATGGTCACTTGCCTTACGGCGAGTGCTCTGCGCTTGGAGCAGCAGCTACAGGTAAAGCAATAACAGGGAAACCAATAAATTGATGGACTTATTTTCGACCCTTTTAAGTGTTCAAAACCTTCTATTTTCTTTTCTGTGTCTTGTATGTTCTACTTAATAAAGGTATACTGTTATTTACTTTGCATATTTTAAGGGTAAAAAAACATTGCGCTGGGTAATCCAACTTCCTGAGTGACTAGCAAACTTATCTTGAACATGTGCACTTGTGCATGTCCAGGTAGGCAGGTACTATGATAACTGTTTTTGCTGGTTCCAACTTCATGCCTAACTTTGTGTTGTTTTGGAGCTTGTGTACAGATTTGTGTATGTTAATGAATATGATTGTAGCTATGTATGTTTACATGCCCAAGATACATACAGCTAGAGCTTGTCAAGGTACTAGGATAGCTGTTTTTGCTGGATTTCATGCCTAGGTTTATTTTGATATGGGAGGTTGTGTTTGTGTACAAAGTTGTGCATGTTGATGAATATGGTTGCAGCTTTATATGTTTGTACATGCTCAAGTATACAGCTGTATAAGCGAACCCAACGCCCAGTCCAGCAGGAGGATTCAGAAATCAAGATAAAACGGGACACAAGGTTGTGCAGGGGAAAACTGACCAACCCTAGGCAGCGCATCTCCTGTAACCTCAACGCCTGCAACTCCCATCACCTCCACAGCCCTAGCCTGCCCCAGATGCGTCGTCGCCAGATCCGGCGCTGCCCCCCCTCCCACCGCCGGTCTCTAGCCCGGCGTCGGCGGCTCCCAATCCGTCCCTTCCCTTTCCTGCTCCCCCCGCGCCAACTTCTCCCTCCGCCACCTCAGCCCCTGCCTCCCCCGGTTGCGGCCCACAGACACATGCGGGAGCAGGAGCCGTGATGCCACCGTCTGAGTCGGACGCCCGCTCCCTAGGGCCGCGGAGCTCGATCTCATCATCGCCGCGCCCCTCCGTCGGCGTCCATGGCGACCGGGTCCGCCATCACTGGCCGAGGCGTCGCTAACGCGCCGCCGCAGGGGGGCCATCCGGCTCAAGATCACCCATCCAAAGAGATGCGGCACCGCGGCGGATCGATGGCGGGGCTGCATGAGAGAGGCCAAGCGATCGGTGCCTCCTTCCATGGGCTCTGCGCCGTCACACCGGTCTCCCACCTCTCCCGCTTCATGGAGCCCTTCTTCCCCAAAGAAGGTGCCCCGGACGCCCAAGGCCATGCGGCCGGGCCGAGGACTCCATCTCCTACGACTCGAATTCGACTTCCCCCACCCATCGCTACCCGAGCTTCTTCGCCGATGTTGTCCGCAAGAGCTCTCCCGCCGGAAACCCCGCCGGCAAGGTCGATGCCATGTCGCCCACCCGAAGCGGTCGATGAGCGGCCGATGGAGAGAAAGACGCGAGGTCGGCGAGCATCGTCAAGGCCACAGCGCAGGAGGAGGCCGCGCCGCACCCACCGGGGAGACCGCATCCTCATTCACCGGGCGATCGTGTGTCCTCGCGGCGAGGCCAACCGAGGCCGCGGGAGCGCGCCCCGCCCGCCAAAGATTGGGCGCGTGTGTTCCGCTGCGGAGGAGGAGGCGCATCTCACCGCCTGACGTGGAAGGGTGGCGGGAGGTCCTGCATAGGCAGGCGAAAACGACACCTGCTGAGCGCACCGCCACCTCGGCGGAGGCGCATCGCGGAAGCGTTGCGAGACAGGTGCCTAAACTGCTTGTCTTACTCTCACCGCATCGCCACGTGCCGCTTGCCTCTGCGATGCCGAGGGTTTCAACACATTGCCAGAGACTGCAAGCGACTGCATTCGCCAGGCCACAATTGGGTTGGCCCCGACGCTGGAGAACGCCTTCGTTCCGGCCATGAGGCCATCCCAAACCGGCATCACTCCCACAGGGGGTCCGGGCAGTGCACCCTAGGCGCCCGGGGACGCAGTCACGGCGAGGCCGGCAAGACGGAGGTGAGCACCACGATGCTTGTCCAAGATGTTGAGCCGACAAAACAGTCCAAAATCACCGAGTGTTGGGCCCTGCTCCATATTGAACAAGATCCATCCTCTCCATTCGAGTTGATCGTGAGAAGACAGCCTGCCTCGGATCCGATGGCCCTTGAAGCAGGGCTGCTTAGCGGTCATCGTGGCGCAACGGAGCAGCCTGGAACAAAGCCACCAATGTTCGCAGACTGCTGGGTACCACCTAGATTTGAGCAAGACCCAACCTCCCTTGGCGAGGCGATCGCTGGAGGGCAGCCGACCTCATATCAGATGGTTTTGGAGGTAGGGCTGCTCAGCGGTCCCAACGGCGCAACAACCACTCCCTCCAGCGTCCCAGGCAATGGCAAGGACGGTCGTCCATCCCTGAGGCATGAGGTGACCAGTGATGCAGCGCCAACAACGACGGCACAGGCTGATCATGCCGGCGCATATGGCGACCAGGAGGGGACGGAGGTCCCACCGTCCTCACCATCGAAGGCACACACACCACGGCTGTGCTCTCGGCCCAGTGCATGGATGCCGGACTGCAAGCTGAGGCGGCCGATGCATGGCAACGGGCGTTGTTCAGGCAAACGACGAGTTGACCGCTGAGGGCACGCCCACACCAAGGGAGGCTGCCAAGCGACTGTCCAGGTTCGTTGAGGAGGTCCAGGTAATGAGACAGTCACCTCTCATCAGCTCCCCGCCTAAGCAGAAGCCAGCATCAAAGCAGACAACTCTGCCCATTAGGAGCAGACGGATTGCTGCTCAGCAGATGGACCATATCCCGGCGTCCAAACGTGGCGAAGTGCTGCTCATGAAGAAGATGGGGATCCTGGCACCTTCAGCACCGATTTCCTCTGCAGCCAAGCATTCGTACTATTCGTACTTCCAGGGCACCATATCGGAAGCAAACGTTGAGGCGCTTGATGCGCTGTTCCCAGCATCTTGGACGATGGCTGGTGGAGCAGCGCGGTCTGGTACTTTAGCTAGATCGTAGTCAAGGTTGATCCCAATAGATCTCAAGGTTGTCATAGTCAAAATGTAGTCCCTTTGAGGTAACCGTCGGGACGGGAACGGTCTATATTGTATTTCAAACTTCTACCTTCTTAATACAATGATACGCAATGCTCTTGCGTATTCGAGAGAGAAAAAAATGGGACACAATTATACACTTGCACAAGCTCGGTTGAACAACTCACGGCTATTGTACACACCAATCTGAAGTACTTTC